CGTGTCCATGCATGTGCATCCTTATTATTAAATGATGATAAATTACTATTTGTATGACTTGGATGATTGAATAAACTATTGTTGTTGATTGATCTATGAGGTAACTGTATTGTTTGTGTTTGGCTATCCGGTGTGCGTTCCTACACCGTGAGCCAGAGTGAGATGTTTCTCACTCCCTTCTTTTGTGTTGTTTCTCTTGTTTGATATACAGGTGATCATCAGCGTGAGGCTGAGGATGTTGGTGATGAAGCTTAGGCTTCTATGTTGGGTTTTGCTCTGATAGGACATGTGACATCGGGACATAGATAGAATTAGTTTAAAGATGTTCTTATTAAAGTATTTTGGAAAATTCAATTTTATTTCTTTGTAATTTTACCGGCATGTTATTTGGATTAAGTTTATGAATGTGAACTCTTTACCCTTACGTGGCTGGAAATTTGATTTTTAATGATGAAAATTTTTATATTTTTATAATTACTGTATATGTATGTTGGGGTAGAGGGTGTCACAAAAGTCTATTTGATTTATTAAAACTACTTGATCAGACGATAACGTTTTCCAAACTGAAAATCTGTTTCTCTAAATCGTCTATAGTGGAAACTAGGTTTGGTAAAACAAAATCAATAGACAAAAGTTTTGCTTAAATCTTCCAACCGAAAATACGCTTGTGAAAATAACTACAAAATTTTCCTTCGAATTAGAACATACACAATTAACCCCCCCTTTTGTGTTTTTTTCCGCTAACTTCATGCTTTAGGGTTTAGAAGGCTCTAAATTTTCCTACTAAAGGTCTGTGCACACACTCACACTTTTGTGCCAAATTTGATTTTTGTGAAAAAAGTGTAAGGGGGGTTAGTGATTTCTACAAGAAAAGGCTTGGTTTTTAATAGATTCTTCGTAGTCCACCTCCCTTGATAGTTCACTTTGTGCACTTAGGCCTCCAATCACTATTCTTGCACTCAAAACCTTTTGTGAAAACCTTTATCACTCACTCTTTGTGAAAATATTTTCAATAATCCTTTGTGAAAGCCTTTCTTGATCAAAGATGAGTGATCATTCAAGTATACGTGGTCAAAATACCCATAGTAGTATACATAGTCTTAAGGATGAACTTAGAGAACTTGGGGAATACATAAAAAGAAAAGAAGTGGAAAGTGAGAAAAGAGAGGAAGAGTATAGGAGAAAAGAAAGAGAAAATGAGAAAAATAACAAAGAAATAAAAAAAAATGCTTGCTAAATTAGTCATGGGGGGGGGAGGGAAGTTGGGGGATCCAAGCCAAGAGTTCCCCCAACTAGGTCCCAAAAGGAAAAGGGGTAAGAATCCCTAGAAGTGAGAGTGAGGGTATTCAACATCCTACAACCCCCCAAGTGATAGCTATTATAGTAGTCATAACAATGATGATTATTATCAAAGGCCACCAAGAACACATAGGCTAAGGGAGTCTTCCAATAAGGAACCTAATCTCAACCTTCCTTCTTTTTTTGGAAAAGATAATGTTGAAACTTATTTGGATTGGGAAATGAAGGTTGAGCAACTCTTTTCTTACCATGGGGTAAGTGAAGAGAAAAAGGTTTCTTTAGCAACCCTTAGCTTCCAAGGGCATGCTATGTATTGGTGGACATCCTTGGAAAAAGAAAGAAGATTGCATCATGAGCTCCCAATTCAATATTGGAATGAACTCCGTAGTGCCTTAAGAAGGAGGCATATTCTCCCATACTATGACCGTGAGCTTATGGATAAGCTTCAAAGGTTGAAACAAGGGTCATCAAGTGTGGAGGAATATAGGCAACAAATAGAATTACTTATGATGAGAGCAGGTATAAGGGAAGAAGAGAGGACCACCATTTCTATATTTCAAAGTGGTCTAAATCTTTAAATAAGAGACAATGTTGAACTTTTTCCTTATAGAGAATTCAATGAACTTGTTCAACTTTGTTCAAGAGTGGAGCATCAACTCAAAAGAAAAAGTTTTATAAAGAATTCCACTCCTTCTTATTTCAAGAATTTCAAGAAAGAGGGCCCCTCTTCCAAACCTTATCCCAAAGAAAAAGAAAAAGAGCAAGAAAAACCAATGTCTTCTCTTAAAGCTCCTTCTAAAGAGTCTAAGTCAAGTGACATCAAGTGCTTCAAGTGTCTTGGGAGGGGACATATTGCTTCTCAATGTCCCACAAAGAAAACCATGATTTTAAGAGGCCAAGACCACAATAGTAGCCTTGATGAAGCTACTTCTTCCTCTTCTACTTCAAGTAGTGAGGATGAAGCCATAGATTTGGGAGAAGAAATATTCCCTTGTAGTGGAGACTTACTCATGGTTAGGAGGCCAAATATTCCCTTTTGTTGTAACCCATATACACTAACATGGCTATTACCCCAAAAAATGTGTTTCATTGTTTTTCTGGTCAATTTGCCCAGAGGTATTTGTATGTTATAGCAAGTTCATTGTATTTCTCCCCCTTAGTATATGCTCTCCCCCTTACTAGATTGTCTCTTAGCCGTGTCTGAATTGTTTTTGATTTTATGTATTTTCTTGCTTCAAGATACACTTTTTTTTTGAAGTGTTTCAGAAAAACTATAGATGACTGACTATTTCTACCTTTATTACCGATAGATTTTCCATAAACATCTGCTTGATGTCATAACTAAATTATCCACAATTCTGAATTGTCTTTGCTGCAATTCAGTTGTGAGAAGCCATTCTTTTAGCCATGTTTTGGCTACTTCTGGATCTTTGGTAATACTATATATTTGCAAAGCAAGACTGAAATGAATCTATGTTCAAAACCTATACTTGAGTTGTTTCTAACTTTCAAAAGTCTGATGCAAATTATTGAGCAATTTCATTTTTGCTTTAAATTCTGGGAATACCAGTGCTCATAATTATGGAGTATTTCTTTTGTCCATTCAAATGTTTTGGGTCTGAAAAATACTTTTCTATGTTAAATGAAACCAAAATCTCACTTAGCTGTTTCTAACTGAACAACAGGATGCTGCTTATCAACTTGCTGCATCAGTCATTGAAACTTGTGCACAGGAGGATGAGCTGAACCCCCTAGTTTGTGGGTTTTTAACTTCTTGTATACATGACAGAGATGCTATGGACAGTGAACTTAAAGAATATTACCATGAAATTTTCTTTAAAGTTGTCTGGTGTGCGCCTCAGATGCTTCTTGATGTTGTCCCAACCTTAATGAAAGAATTATTGGTATGTCATTCCTTCATGTCAAAATTTAAAATTTTACACTAGATGAAACCAATTGCTTGAAATTCTTAAAATGTATTGATATTTTTAACTTCTGTTTTACTATATCTGCAATCCACTTTATAGGCTGATGAAGTTGATGTACGTATAAAAACTGTTAAGTTGGTGGGGAAGCTTTTTGCACGTCCTGAACATCATGGTGCTCTGAAGTATCATGAACTTTTTGTGGAGTTTGTGAAAAAATTTTGTGATAAATCTGTGGATGTTAGGATTAGTGCTCTACAATGTGCTAAAACTATCTATTTGGAGAATCCCTACGCAAGAGAATCCCATGGAAATGAAATTATCAGTAAGTTCCTTAATAAATATTTTTGTAGTTGTTTGTTGTTTATTGGTTTTATCTCCAAATTCCTGATAACCTTGCAACTTAGCAGCTTGTATTGAAGATAGATTATCAGACTTTGACGACCAAGTGAGAAAGCAGGCAGTTCTTGTTGCCTGTGATATTTTCAGGTCAAACCTGACAACTGATCCATCCAAACTAATGAAACTGCTATCTCAAGCCACCGAAAGACTTCGGGATATAAAGGCATGTGCAGTTAAATTTTATATGCCTGCTGAAGGACAAAATAATGAAAATACATATTTCTTGACGATGAGTAGTGCTTTTTCAGATGAATGTTAGAAAGAGTTCCTTGCAGAAGTTAATTATGGTTTATCAAGATTATTGCAAGAAATGTTATGAAGGCAGCATGACAATTAGCAATCACTTTGAAGAAATTCCATGTAAAATTATGATGCTGTGCTATAATAAAGATTGTAAGGAGTTCAGGTCAGCTTAAGAATTCAAGATTGCTATTAAATCAAAATTAGAGTTCTCTTGTCAAAAGTAAATTTTTCATAGAATTTCAGGTCACAGCACATGGAATTTGTTCTTGCTGATGATCTATTCCCCAAGGATCTTCCAGTTGTGGAAAGGATAAACCACTGGATACACATGTTTTCTCTTTTCAGTTTCTCTCATGAAAGGCTACTGAATACTATTTTGACTCACAAGAGAAGGTATTGATACCAACAACATGCTACTTTGAACATGATAAAACCAGAGTATTGTTTACAAATTGTTCCCCTTTTTCAGGTTCCAAAATGAAATGAAAAATTATTTGGCAATGCGGAAGAAATCGAAGGTACAAATAAAATGACTGGCTACATTTATTCATGATAAGGGCACCTTGTAGCCTCTTTTTTTTGGGTTAGAAATAGGTGGAATACTCAAATAAGTTATGTGTTGGTGACAAAATGGCATATATATAACTGATAGGTTTGGGAGTGGAAAACAGAGATTACAATCTTATATATGTATTTAGGATAGTAATAAAGATCAAAATTTTCTATTAGACAACATGGAACAAGAATGATGATTAATAGAAAGGGACTGCGCTAACTCCAAAATATTTATCAAAGGAAGAACTGTCCAAGACTGGACATTTGATTTTTGAAAATATTTGTTCTAAATATTTTTGTATGTTCAAAGGAAGAACTCCAAAATATTCCTGGGACAATTTAACACCCACTTACACCCAAGACTGGACATTTGATTTTTGAAATTTGCATGATAGAACATTTGTGGAAGCCTAACATTAATTTGGAAAGTGATAGAAACTGGATTAAAATTATAGAGATAAAAGCTTCTATTAACAGAAAAGGGTAGAAATGATTCCCAGAACTTTTGGGATGCTTGGACTTCCACAGAAATCTGAATTCCCTTTCAAGTCACAAGATAAAATCTCATTCTCTTATGTATAAGCAACATGCCTTGTTTCTCTAATTATATCAACTCTGAACTAACTTTGATAATTCAACTATGCAGCTAGGGGGATACCTACTGGAAAGAATTTAATATTAGAAATGAGTTGAGCTTTTTTTACTTTTGAAAACTAGCTCAAGGGAGGAGGATTTCCCAAACCTTATAAGGAGTATTGTGGTTATAATTTTAGCCAGTGAGGGACATCTTAGCAATGGTTCTCTTGATAGCAGGAGAGTCATGACTCGTGATGGTAGTAAAGGTTTAGCTTATGTATATGATTGAAGTTCAATCATTACAGTTTGCTATTCTTACAGGGTAAATTTATTAATTGAATTTTAAACTAAAAAAATTTACTGCAAGTAAATCCTCACTTTTCCCTCCAATTGTTAATTCATACTTGAGAACTTAAAAGATGGAGTCAGTATAATGCATGGGCACTTTCATGCTTCTGATTATTGATTTGTTAGTTTGTAATAATGGAGCTTCATAACTTTTTTCAGGAAATTTGTTCTGAAGAAAGGCAGAAGAAGATTGAAAGTATGTTTACAAAAATGGCAGCATTCTTTCCGGATTCTCACAAAGCTGAAGAGTGTCTTCATAAGTTAAACCAAATTAAAGATAATAGTGTGTTTAAATCACTTGAAAAATTGTTGGAGGAACAAGCCTTCACCACGGTTGAACAGAATATGAAAGTATGTTGTAGTCTTGACTTATGCATAGAATATTCCAATATCAGCTATTTGTTTTAGTTTTAAATTTTTAATTGAGTGACACGAGTTGGTGTTCTTTTATAGTAGTGTTCTTTTATAGTTTCAAGTGTTTTTGCCTGTTTATAGGTAAGTGTTAAAACTGTATTCTGTACTTAATTAGTCATACCCTGCATAGTTCTCTTGTGATTGGAAGTGATTTTTTTCCATGTATAATAGATCTAGGGTTCTCACAATTTTTCTTTTCATTGCTCATACTTCCTCCAGTAGCTTATTTTTTCTCTTTCATGGCACATGACTTCTTTGATGACTTGGCTTAATAGATCATAAAAAATTGACATTATTGGTTTTGCTCTAGGTATGTTATATGATTATGATTTGTGACTGCAACTACGAGTTGAATTGCAATTCGGATACATTATATGTCTAATTCACTCTGTATTTTGAGAATATGTAATCACTGTTTTGTTTTCATGTGTGGAGTTTCACAAACTTTTCTGTACATCTTGTGCCATGTTCTCTATGCACATCTTTATTCTTACTTTTCCTTAAGTAGTTATTTTGTTTTGTTTAAGCATCCATTTTTCCCATGTTAGGTCTCTTTTGTTGTTTTTGTTTTTTGCAGGATAAACATCTGGTTATTGGAGACAACATACCAAATTATGAGTTTTTACGTCCGCTCTTGTCGAAATGTTCAGACAACATTTTCAGCTCAGAGCATGTCCAATGTATCTTGGATTATCTTTCCAATAATGAAAATGGAAATAAGGATTTGGAGGATTCTTCTGCAAATCTTCTGCTGGTAAACAAAAAAAGCTGCTTAATGGATTTTAATATACTTTCTTCTAGTTACTTAGTTCTCCTTTTAATTTTTTAGGTGGGGGAGAGGGAAGGGATAAATCATTTGAACCTGCTGCATGAAAATGAAATTAGGCACTAAATGCAAAGTAAAAGAGAGTGAGTGTGACTTGTGAGGCATTCCAACAAAAGTAGCTAACCTAAACAATGTCACAATCTGTTCATGATACTATTTTACAAGTTGTATAAATCCTGCTCCAAATATTTGACATGTTCATGTTGTAGTATTTACAGTCAAATAATATTATATAAGCCAAAGGTTTAAATATCTGCAACATAGTTTACACCTTCAAGTTCTTGACCTACATTTATTTCGAGTAGTTAAATTGAAAAGAAAGAGATTGGTCAATTGGTGCAAGAATGAATGTCAAAGCATGAACCATTTAACATGAATGCACTGTCCTCTTCGGGGCAGAGGAATTAGCTTTGGTTACTTGAGGTTGAAATGCTGTTTTTGTTATATTTTGCCTGAAGTTGTGCAAAAAATGCTTTTGGAAGTCTGCTATTTTTAGTGATGCATATGAGTGAACCTCTAAAGCTACAGTGATCACTTTTCAATGGGAGGAATTTATTTTGGTATCAAATTAATGTCTAGGTAAACTTCGGTAATATATTGTGAAAGTAGAAACTAATCTCAAGTGGAATAGCTGTTTGTCCTATTGACTGGAGTTGGAAAGCTAATCATCATACTTTACCTCTTTAAGTGTCCTTGTTAATATTGGAAAAATCAAATGTCTTATTAAAAATTGGATTTCAAGATTTTTACAATGAAAATAAAATATATTTTCATAATATTAGTTGATCAAGAGGATCTTAACTTTTTGGTGTGTTTTGGATAAATTTGATTTTGGATGCATGAAACTGATTATTACAGAATAAATTATTACACAAGCATTTCTCCCTACAGCAAAAATTTCACGGCTATCACAAACACTTATTATTTTATTTTTTTGTTTTTCTGTTATGAATATCTGTAGATTAGAGGACAGTTTCAACAATGGGAATGTATTCAAGTGCATTCAGAAATGATCTTTTATAACAATTTTGTTGCTATTTTGTCTGCCAAAGATTTTCTGATTGTAGTAGCTTGTGCTAAATGGAGAGGGCTTAAGCATAGTTTTAATATGTTTGTTTTAATACTCTGTAGATTAAATATCTTCAGGCTTGAAGAATAACAAATCATAAATGATAGATCCTCCACTACCTTATGCTGAAATTCATACATGAATAGATGGTTGAAATGGGAGCATTTAATGATTATTACTTTTCCATGGAGCTTAGTAATTGTGTTTAGCTAAGTTCAATGTATCTTACGAAGCAGTTCTCTTAAAAATAGTAGTAGTTATTTATTAACATTATAATGTAATCAATATTACTACAATACTACCCTTGGTATTAATTATAAGCAACAATCAATAGCTTTTAAAGTTACCAATGGATAAATTTCTTTTATACTAATTTTTTATTAACCCTAATTTCTATGCATTCATTTATTCTCTATTCATTGGATCATTGGATTATGAGTACTGACATTAAATATAACAACTACTTAAAGTAGAGGGTATCCTTGGAATAAAATATTAAGTAAACAGTCATTTTGGTCTTTGAAAGTGGTGTGTTGTCACATTTGTTTGTAAATTTAAGAAAATGTCAAATAAGTCCCTAAATTTTAATACTTATTGTCATTTTGGTCAATACTATCACTTTAGTCACTTATTTTATTTTATTTTTTACTAACATGATTGTTAGTTCGCACTTTCAGCGATTTGTTTGACATTTTCATGATTTCAAGGGCTAATATGATTGTGCCTAGAGCTATTAAAGTGGGTTCTGACTCGTCAAAAACTCAACCTGGCCCACTTTTGACACGACTCACTTGGATAGTTGGATTGAACCTATGGTGAACCGGACTATCCATCTAAACTACCTAAACTACTACAATGACAAGAATTTTTGTTTTTCTTAGAATAGTGAATTAAGCTTAACTCAACCCTACAAAACCGGCTTGTAAGGTAAGGGTTGCTTTCCACTTATATACTAAGTAATTGTCTAATCTCTAGTCGATGTGGGACTTGAGTTTTTCCTAATACACCCACTTACGTCCAGTACTATTGGTCTTGGTACGTGGATAAATGAAAGGTGACCCTTTTTTTTAATGATCTAGGATTGGCGAGACTTAAATACACTCCCTCATGTCCATGGTGCATGTATCAATGTGGGTGACCCATTTTTAAGAATCTAGGATAAGTTTGATATCATCTTACACCTTTTGCTTTCTACTTATATACTAAGTAATTGCCTAATCTCTAGTCAATGTGGGACTTGGGTTTTTCCCAATAGTTTTGATTATTTAAAGTTGTCCACTTTTTAAGTTTAATGTTGTATGCATGATGTTTAGTTTGACAATTTTTATTTTAGATTAGAGGTTATTTTAAATTGTAGTTTTTTTTTTTAATTTAAATTTAGGTGGGTTGGCTTGTTTAGCCCACCAACTTGTGGATTAGGCCAGGATGAAATTTTTTGAATATGTAAGCAGGTGGGTTGGGCTGGGACTGTTCACTTAGAAAGTGGGTCGAGGTGGGCTTGGTCAAATAGATCGGACTGGTTTGTTTTGATAGATCTAATTGTGCCTTTCAAATTTAGGAGACCAAAATGATCATTTACTCTAAAATATTTGGTTGCCCCCCTGCCATTTGGATTTTCTCTAACCAACATTTTTGGCATTATTGAAGAGGGTGGAAACTTAAAATAGTTTGATATGTTTTAGACCTGTTGAAATGTGTTGGATATCTTTATAATGTTTAGATATTTTAAAAGACACACAAAAGTGGTAGGAGACATTATTGAAATTCAAATAAACTCAACTAAAAGCACAAAAAATAGAGGTTTCAAAACATTTTAAGGATTTGGATTTTTATTTGTTTAGGATGTGATATTTGTTGGCTTATTTGTGTGCGTGAATGTTGAGGATCAGTGAAAATGTGACCAAAGGAATTTAGATACCTCATGAAAGATCTTATTTGTTACAAAAGGTTAAGCCATCAGGTTTCAGGAATGGTTTTCATGTATGAGTGTTTTTCTCTACTCTATCAATGTGTTAGTCTTTGTCAAAGCAATTAATTCAAAAGTAGAGGTTTTGAATATGAATTGATTTGATGGCTACCCAATGATTTTTAGATTTTGTCTATAGTAGCCAAATTGAAGGAAGCATCTTTGTTTGTTGGAATTGGACAATAATCTCTTAATATGGATTATTTGATAATTTTTACCACCATTTTACTTGAACCAGGCTATTGTTCGAAATTTTCCCTCTATGATGAAAGGCTTGGAAAAGCAGTTCCAAAAGTTATTGGAGCAGATAAGTCCTGTAAATGACAAGCTGATTGATGTCATAGCAAAGGCAGGCTCTCATATGTCTTTCAATCATAGGTAACTTATTTTTTTTAATTTATTTTTGGTGTGTATAATTTGAATGTTTACAACTCATTTACACATCAAAAAGTCTGCCTTAACAAAATTTACCACTGCTGCTACTGTTTCAAAGAATATTTGTATGGCATGTTTTGTTTCAAGTTGAAAGAATTTTGGTGTTTTTTTATTTGGATGTTTTAGTAGTTTTATCTGTATTTTTTTTTATGTAAACAATAGCTGTATTGGTGGACTTTTGATGCAATTAGTGGTGTGTTGCTTCAATACATCCAGTAATTAGTAGATACTTCATATCAATGTTGTAGACTTGTTAATTTTCAAAGATAGGTCTCTCCTTCTCTCAAGGTGACTCTGATTTTGGGGCTTTCCCAAGATTTAAAGTTTGCTGAATGATCTAAGATTTTTTTTTTATGATTAAGCAGTAGATTTTAGGATTTAAATTGAAAATTTTCTTTTAGCTGGAGAGATGTCAGTTTTGAATTAACTTTTTTAATTAAAAGTACACTAATATTTTACTAACTTTCTAATTTAGTTATTGTGTTTTCTCTTCGCAGTGACATTTTTCCATTTCTCAAAAGAATTTGCTTTGATGGAACTCGCAGACAGGCCAAATTTGCATGCTCTGCAATTGCTGCTTTAAGTTATGAACAATCAGTTTTCAAAAAGTTATATGAGGTATACATCTTTGTGTGAATGCTACCTTGAACTATATATTTGTAATTTTAGTGGATGAAAATTGGGAGAAGAGAAAAACAAAGATTTCATTTTTTGAATTTGCTTGATTATTGAGTCATTTTACCACTCATCAAAAGTTATCTATTTATAATAATAATAATAATAATAATAATAATAATTACAAAGATAATAAATAACTACAAGTATTTTCAACAGAACTACTAAGATACCAAACACAATAACTAAGTTACTTGTAAAAGTAATAAACTAATAATCATTAAATGCTCTTTTTTCCAACACCCCTCAAGCTGGAGAATAGATGTTTTCCATTCACAGCTTCCATACAATATCTTTTAAAGTCTGATTTGCACAATCCTTTGGAAAGAATATCTGCAAGTTGACCTTGTGAAGGTACACCTAGAGTACAATTCAAACCACAATCAAGTTTTTCTTTGATAAAATGCCTATCCATTTCAATATGTTCTGTTTGATCATGCTGAAAAGGATTATGAGCTATGGTGATTGCTGACTAATTATCATAATGGAGCTCCATAGGTCCATTCCATTTAATCTTCTACTAAGACACACCTTAGAACTCTATGGTCAAGTTTTCCCTTGTCTTGACCATGGATGTGGACAAATGAGACACACCCAAAGATCTTTGGTGGAAGTTTACTAAAAGCAGACAAGTTGGAAAGTACATCCATAGGATTCTTAAATCCTGAGATAGAGGATATGCAATTTGTAAGATATGTTGCTGTGAGACCAATCTCCACCTAGAAAATGTTTTGAATATAATTTTTGAAACAATAATGCTTTGATTTGGTCTAAGAGGTGTCTGTTTTTCCTTTCTGCAGTTTCATTTTGTTGTAGTGTCATGATTTATTCCCTCCTTTTGGCAATAGGAAGTAATGACTTGATTAAAATACTCCTTCCCATTGTGTGACCTAAGTTTCTTTAACACACGAAATTAACTTTTTATCATTGGGATTTTTTTTTGAAAGATATTGCTTCAGATTCTGTTTAGGAAAAGCCAAGTGACTTGGGTACAAATACAATCATCAATAATTCTTAGACATTTTAAAATTTCATCCCTCCTTAAAATGCGCAAAACATGTGTATTTTCTCTGTGGAAGTCCTTAATCCATAGTCATCCATGCTTTAGGTTTGATTTAATTGTTGTATGACTAATAGTGAGCTCTAGCTACATGATTTATCGTACATACCTATTTGCATGTTGATTGATTTTTGAAAGAACAAACCACTCCATGAGGATACTTTATTCTATCTATCGACAGTTATAAATTAAAGCTAATTTGGGGCATTCTATTAGTAGTGGTGATTCGCTTCTTAGTACTAACAACTAACTTTATTCTTTCCTGTTTTTCTGTGTGCAGGAACTAATTGATTCTTTATATAGCGAGTGGAATGTCCCTACAATTTTGCAATCTATGGGATGCATTGCACAATACTGTGTTTCAAATTTTGAAACTCGAGATGAAGAGATCACATCATATATATGCCAGAATATCATTCAAGTAATTGAGTTTAATGATAAATTGTCTTGTTTGTTTAATTTATTCTTCCAGAAGAACTCTTTTTTTGGATCGGCAAAAGAAAATATATTAGCTGTATGAATTGTTCTTGGAACTCTGTTGATATTGTGTGAAAATATATTATTTCTATAAATTGTTCATGGAATAAGTTGCATAATTGATTAGATGGAGCATTCGGATGATGGTCATGATGCAACATCCTTTCCGGATATCTCTCAATGTAGCAAATCTTGTCAATTAAAGGTTAGTATGAGGAATCTGATGGTGCATTTGATTAAGAGTTCCCATCTGACTGTAAATATGGACATAAAAAAAATTATTTTTTTCTATTCTGTTGTATGCCATGTTGTTTCTAGTTTCTTGTATATTGTGTCCATGTATACATTTCATATTGAATATATTTTCGACTTTTCAAACTGCAACTAGTTTTATAGAGATAGTCTTGTCTTTTTACATACACACGCTCAAGGTTAAAATTCCAGCCACCTTAAACACTTGAGCTAGTAGAATGCAATTGATGTGTTTGGCTTAGTTATTTTGTGGGGTCCAAAATATAACTGAAAGCATGCCTTTGGCATTGGAGTCAATGTTCAGTATTTATGCCTTTTAAAGCTTTAACTTAACAACTAAAAGCAGAAGGAAAAGGGAAATGGGATATAGAAAAACTCTATATTTTATGCCTTTGTGTCCCTGTTAGTTTTATGGTGGTGTGAAACCACCACAAAATGGAGGCATAGGGACTAAAATGAAAAGTTGGTGCAGGTATGGGGCCCGAATGATTAATTAAGCTCCCCCCTCCCCTGTGTGTTGATACTTGATATTATGAATGGGCTTAATCCAAGTCTGATGTGGGAAAGTGTGGCAGTGTGCTGCATCATTTTCATTTGTGTTTGAGCTTGAAATGCTTGTTTGCCCTAAAATGCCTTGGCACTTTGGACTTGTGCACCTCTTATTAATATATCCTTATATTTGCTCTTAACTCACCAATGTGGGATTTGTTTTATTTTCCAATACTTTGTTTAAATGATTGATAAGTATTATAAACTTTAATTTTTATAATGCAACTATAAGCTGCCATGGTTTTAGCTTTAACAATATTCAAACAGAGCAAAAAGTTGTTGATGATATTCTGCATAATTTTTTTTTTCTTTTTAAATGATAGATAGTTTATTAAATATGCCTGCCTCTAAACATCAATTCACAAACACTTCATACTTGAGCTTGAAAATTGCATTTAATTTAAAGCATCTCTCTACATAACAGTTATGTTTGCATTATTTAATTTGTTGGTCTTGCACACATGTTTAGAATATTGAATTAAGTGTGATGCTAAAATAAGGTGTTTAGGTTTGAATAACAATCTCCTTCTGTTTCCAGTGCAATGTAAGTGAAGAATGCTATTTAGTTGAGCCATAGAGGTGGAATGTTTCAAATGGTGTACATTGTATTCGTTCCATAAGTTTGTAATTTGTCTAGCTTCATGACCATGGTTTTTGCAGATTTATGGGCTGAAAGCACTGGTGAAGATTTATTTGCATTATAAAGGGAGTCATGTCGAACATAATATTAATGGTTTGTTGGACATCTTGTCAAGAATGTTACGGGAAAGTGACAATTTCTTTAGTACATCTACGAGCTCATGGTATAGCTTTTGTTATCTCCTCTTTCTTTATGTCAATTTTTTGTATGCACTAGCTCTAGGTTTAATGCTTTTGCTTTTGTTTTCCATTACCTAATAAATATAGAACTTGATCTCATGTTTTTACTTGCAAAAAACCCTGACTTTGTTTCATAATATTTTAAACTATCAAAGGAGACTAGCTTATATGAAATATAAAATTATAGTGGCCATGGGTTTGGATAATTTTTAGTAGGTCATTTGGTTTGTTTGTGGTGTTGTTGTACCAACCAAATGAGTTATTCTTGGTTCGTTTTTTATGATTATCAACCTCTTTTCAAATTCTTAGTGTGGTTCAGCTGCTTCATTAGAATAAGAGTCACATACTAAGGAATGATGAACGAACTTCAAAATTGTCTGTTAAACAGTCTATAGTTGATTAATGTTGTTTTGCAAAAGACCTTATTAAGTCCTGTAGTGAATAGCAACTTATATAGGTGATGATCTTAATTGTGTTTATCCTTTCTCTATTTCTCTATGTGCATTGAACTTGCTTATAACTTTTGCTGTGTTTACTATGTATAGTGAAAATGATAAGGCTCATATCAGATTGGCTGCTGCAAAGGCAATACTTCGTCTTGCTAGGAAGTGGGATTTTCATATTACTCCGGAGATTTTTCGATTCACTATATTGATTGCAAAGGTATGCATATTGGACTGTCTACATTTGAAGTAGTTCAGTAAGTAGAGGAAGTAGATTGATTCTACATTTTATTGAATTATTCTGTGATCGAAGTAGACTGGGTTCACCCTTCACCGTCAAGGTGTTTGATAAGGAAAAAAAACCTGGGATGAAGGCTAGGCCCACTATGAAGGCTGAGGCAGTGGAAAAGTGACTCACAAACTGGGAGCTCTAATATCAAATTTAAAGGAAAATTAGAGAAATATGATTTCTTATTGTTATTTCCCTCAAACTGGTTTTTATATATCATTTTCAAAGCTTGTTACATATTATAATTAATTTGGGATCCTCTAAGATTTACCGAGTAGGTCAACTTTGCAATTTGAGTTGAAAAAGCTGTTGAAATGTCTCCTTAAAGTATTTTCCTATAATTTAATTGCAACCAATTTCATGAGAGATTGAACTCAATGAATGTAATGCAGTATGTAGGTCAACTTGACTATCGCAAATGCGTGTTATCTGTCTTGTATCTCCTAATTAAATTTTCTTGAGCAACTGCCTAAATTAAGTTGTTAAACCCAAAATTTTATCTAGAATTAAGAGGGGATGAAAACTCGTAACTCTTGAATCATGGATCATAAGATCCTATGTCATGGTTAAAATGCAAAATCATACTTAGACACACAGACATACATAAAAGTTAGCAGGATTTTAAATTGGTGTATTTCTTATCTGTCAATTTGATTGATCTGGAATTTGGCTTGCAAGTCAAACTTCCAAAGTCTGTGTTATGCCAGAATTGCTCTTACTCATGGTTTTTCCTTAAACTATAAATTATTTACTGATTCCCAATTGTTTCATATGTTATTGTTTCAACTGTTTTTGTGTCCCTTTCCATATTCCAGGATTCTTCTTTGTTTGTTAGGAGCACATTTCTTAATAAGACACAAAAGTTGTTGAAGGAGCATAAACTACCAATCAGATTTGCTTGTGCTTTTGCACTTGAGGATATGCAATATCAGGTGTGTCGATGTCTTTTAAGATTTTAAGTGGTTTTGACTTTCTTGATTCTATGATTTTTGATTCATGTTGCATTACTTTTGTTGGATATCTAATGGTATATTACTCTAATAGAGTGGAAAGAGATGTACAAAATGGAATGGAGTACATTCCGTCAAGTTTCTCTCCATTCCATCTTTATTTTAAGCAATTGAAATTAGGGAATCTAGTGTCATTCCATTCCATCAATCCAAATATAATTTAGGGAAATCTAGAATCTCCTGTAGCTTTCTTTGCAACCGACGTCATCAGAACCTTTGTTTCCATAATTTTGGTATTATTCATTGCCCTGGCGTAAATATTCTCAATGTGTCATCTATACTCTACCTACTAAAATGTATCTTTCAGCATCCTCAAATTTTAGTTGATATCATTTTTGTTGTGTTGATCTCCTTGGTAGATATATGTGGTGTTCTGCTTGCCTAAAAATCTTTATTCCAAAAATGCCAAGCTATCTCACAATGCACGAATAATCAGGCAGCCCTCTACATTGCCTCTAATCCAGTGTTTCAGGAGAGGACTAATCGTATAGAGATTGATTGCCATTTTATTTGAGAGAAGCTGCAGTGTCCAAGGAGATTAGCACTGAATTTACCAACTCCAGTGGACCTCAGATACAACTCATGTTTCAAGCTTGATGCATACAATTTATATGCTTCAGCTTGTGGGGGAGTGTTAACTTAAACATTTTTGTTATCTATTGTATTTATTGTACAGCTTTTATAAAAGCTGCTTTTGGCTGTGTTTTCAGATTCAGTGATAGAAGTCTGTCTTTTCTTCTCTGGCTTCCTTTTGAATCTTGTACTCATGTTGTCACAGTGGAGTGTTGGAGTAGGCAAAGAGACTTTGAGTTCATTGAGTAAAGTTTAAACCCAAAGGCTGTCAGTAGATTTGACAGCAAAGTTCCTATATTAGCTTCAGTACCAGATCTGAATTGCTTGTGGGACCAAGAGGATATTAAGTTTGGGCCAAGAAAAAGACATGAGCACTATGAAGGCACATGATTTTTAGTCCAGTTAAAAAGGGGGAAATGGTGACCAAGAAGGATTGGGAGAAGTTGTTAAGAGGGATCTCATGGTAAATAATATCTATAAAGATTTGGTCTTTAAACAAGTTAAGTAGCATCCTTTGATCTTTGTGGCAAACTCACTAGTTGGATAAGGCTTTGTTGTTTTGGACAAATTTCGGTTACTATGAACTCCTGATAGTCCTTGGTTGTGTTCTTTATTCTGGTCATCTCTGTGTGCCCCAACACTTATGCTTCTGTTTGGGTTCCAGTCTCATCCGTTGTGTATTTATCTATAGCACGTTTCAAATAATCTTTTATTACTGTTCCCAATCTCTCACTGTTGAGTCCTCATTTCAACATATTTTCTCTTTTGGCTCGAACCATGCTGAGGTCAAAGATATCAATCTACTCATGGCTGTCCCGAGAAATTAGTCTTCCACAATACTTTACCAGAAATATCAGCTGGTCCCATAGTAGTACCAAAGAATTGCCGCAACCCCCTACAATCTCAATCCATATTGTTTGATTTCTTTTGTTTAAGGATTTATCTATAACAAGCTCAAAGCTTAGAAAGCTTTAGCTGGACAAGCATTAGAATTTATTGAAATGTCCAAAAATATCAAGATTGTCAAACTTGAGAGTCTATATAAACTTGTAGACCTTCCATAGACTTGATTCATAGGCTCAACTCATAAGAGTTTACCTAATATTAGAAATAATATTAAAAGCCTTATGAATATGCATAACATAATACTCTTAACACAACAATAATTCAAAATTTCAACTATATAATAAAGCCAAGTAACAAACCACAATAATAGAGTGTGATAGTACACTAGTACTAAGTGAGATCAAACTACATAAATAACCAAATCATATATTAGTTCATAAGTGAAAACATTTCAAATAGGAGTTATTTTCTTCAAATCGTTTAAGCCTCGATAAAACAGTCACTATGGGGGAATTACATTTTATTTCAAACTTGTTGACTCATTTCTTGACTCGGGAGTTTATGAGAGTTTACTCGAGTTTATTTAGAAAAGAGTCATGTTAACTTACGTTTTTCACCTAGAATTGCAAAAGCATCAGTTTAAGAGTTAATTCGAGAGTTTGACAACCATGAAAAATATCTTAATTATATCTTTGAATATTTTAAATTATCTCTTAGGATTAGTTTCCTTTTTATTATTTATAAATATTAGAATATATTCCATTACCATATTTCCTGAATTTAGGATTAGCCTTTATATTCATGTTAGAGTTTGTACCTTTTGGGAATCATAGAATATTCAGAATTATTTCCTTATATTTCAACGTTTATCAATCATAATGGAGGGCAAGCATTAGTGCAAGGCTAAGGTTGCTGTCTTGTGACTTGGAGGCCATGGGTTTGAATCCTGAAAACATCTCTACTTATGGATGGCTGCAGATATCCTCCCTCGGACACCACCAAGTGGGTTGCCTTGTGTATTGGGTCCCCTTAATTGTATAAAACATAGTAGTTAAGAAAATACTGTTAAGTCTGGTGGGATTCTCCTCTCTTTATAGTGTTCTTCGTTGAACAAGAAAAGAAAAGTCTGTGGGATCTAGTAGACAAAAACAAAATTGGGTTTATCTACAGTCATACAAGTTTACTTGAAGAAGATTTTTATTTCCCATTATAGCCCTAGAAGAAAGCTTGCAATTTTCTCATTGTTTTGTTCTTGAAATTATTTTGAACTTGTCCTGTTATTGGGTTGTGCTAATTAATGGTTACTAATACTGCTTCTTTCAGAACTATAAATATATGACAGAGTTTATAAAGGATTACAGTATAGTAGCTGGTAGACGACAAACCTCTGTTGTTCCAGGAGCAATTGTTGATTACCCAGCATACATTTTGGTGTTTTTGATTCATGTGCTTGCACGGAATAATGACTTTCCAGTTGAAGTCTGTGAAGATGAAAAAGTATATGCTGACCTTTGTAGGTAATATATTGCTATTATCCATCATATTTTAGTTTTATTAATTATGCCATATGGATATTTACCCTTAAGATGGTGACACATCTGGATTGCTTCTTTGTAGTCCACTCTTTTTTATCCTGCAGGTATTAGTTGACGTCAGTATTGTTGATGGTGACCTGGACATTGTTAATGTTGCTGTCCTACATGTATTTAGTATTTTTCGAGCAATCAGAAAGGTTGAGGATGCTGTTGATGTGCAGATGACAACTGTATAATACTTTGAACATGCTCTTCATTAACTCTTTGCTTTTAGTTGCATGCAAGTTTTATTTTGAATTTTGTGAAATGCAGAAGCTTCATATGCTGGCTGAAATTGGGATATTTGCTTTGAATAAATTAAATCATGGTGGAATTTCCGTATTGAAAAATCCTGGACAAGTTTTATTGCCTTCATCATTATATAGAGTGAGTTTTGTTAAGAATGGTGCAAGTTTTTTTAGAGGAATTGTCTTTGCTTCACATAGAAGATTCAAGATATGATTCAGATTGAAAATTATTTCATTTTTTAGCTTATACAGTTAGTATTGTTTGTCTTACTCATTCAATTCTTTTGCTTTGGATGGAACTTTTAACTACAGGCCAGTTCAAAATGTCCAGTGTCCTTTTTTGATGAAAATTTTCTAAGTAGAGTCTTTCATGTGCTTAAAAAATCTACTCTGCCTCATGGATATGCTCAAAAGGTATGTTTTATGTACACACAATTGGTAATAAATGTTTCTCATTTCTTTTTAATGATGCCATTCACTTTTAGTTTTTCTATTTTTTTGGTGGGGGATTGCTATCAGACTGCAAAATCACTTCCTAAGCATGGTCATAAGGTTCAACAGGATGTTCTGAAGTCTAATATTAATATTTATGGTGTACTGGACTTGGCATCCAAACCGGATGATTTGTCAAGGAGAGAAATCGCAAATGATAAATCTGTGAGGCCAAATATCCCATCAAAGAAAAGGAAAAAAAGTGAGACTATGTCTGGTTCTGGATCCGTTGGTTTACATGAATGCTCTATGATTGAAAAGCGACAAAAATTAGCATCAAAACATTCTGGAAAGGCAATAGACAGAAACTTGCTTTCATCAAGTGATCCTGTGAGGTCTGAATCACATGGGCAAACCCGTAAATCAAAAAGAGCAGCTGCTTCTACGTTGAAGAATGCTGTGACAAGTAGCAATCATACTGTTGAACCATTCAAATGTCCTAGAACCAAACTGAAAGATACATATGGCTCAAAGGTTGGTTGGAAATTCTTTCAAATATCGAAAGTTGTGTACTGTCTATTGTGCTTGCATGTTCATTTAAGTATAGTTTTTTTAATCTCACTCCTGTTTTTATTATGCACAGATTTGTAGCCTAAAATAATGTCTAGGTTTGCATTCATTTTTCACGTCTATATAATATGCTGTACCTATTGCTGTAAATTAACAGAAAATAATATACAATTTCAGTTCTGTTTAAGTTATAGACTTTTCAATAAGTACTTATAGAAGAAGAAATTAAAAGAATTAAAGAGGTAAAATGAAACCACCCATAAACTAAATTAGCATATCCATAAGTTAATTTGTAGAAACTTTCTCATATTAACTTTTCCAAAAACTTATTTTAACTAATGCATTAGTTTTTTTTTTTGGTAAAGACTAATGCATTAGTTTTAGTTTATGGAGAAACTTATTTTATTTTTTGTCCTTATTTTCTTCTCCTTGAAATGTGTATGGAGAAGTTTATACAAACAAACTGTTAAGCATCTTTAATAACTTAAAATCAATTTATGCACCTCAACTGAGAAGTTAGATAAGAGAGCTTATAAAAAAGTTAAGGTGCACAAGTTAATTTTAACTTATGAATGAAATTTAATTTAATTTGTTTAATTTATAAAAAAGTGTTTTTTTGAGAAGTTTTTCTCGACTGTTCTTTCTACAGGCTTTGAGCCCAATGTGATTGAGGTTATATTCAAATATAAACCATTTATTTTATTAGGCTACTATCAATGAATTGCATTTGCTTTATGAATAGCTTGAACATTCAATTATGTTGATACAACTAGTAGTTGAACATTCAATACTGTAACTAGAATAGCAAACAGTATTGCCTTAATTTCTTTTATAGGTTTTTTTGTTATCAAAAGCCTTCATTTTCGATGTCACTGTTTGTATAAGACCTAGCCTGGCTTAGCTTTTTATCTTATGGGAGCTTTTCAATTATAAAGTCCAACTATTAAGACTTTTCTAAGGCAAGAATGTGAAGCTTTGTTAAGTTTATAGATGCTTATGGAGAAGTTAGATGGGCGAGCATCTGAAAAGATGATTTGCACGAATTGATTTATTTTTAACTTATTGGATATGTTTAGCTCATTATGCCTCCTTGTTTCTTTTTATTTTCTTGTCCTATTAGTACTTGTTGCGAAGATTATCTAAATTAGCATTATGCTGTTGGGTTAATGATTGTTGTTCGATCAACCAATGCCTTGTGGCCAATTGCAAAAATTCTTTTCTGCCATTTAAAAACAGGTTTAATATATCCCCCTATTTTGAGCTTCATTTTGACATTACTCATCTTTTGCCCGTTTACCATGTTTTCCTGAGCGTGTTTCTTCTGGAAACAATTCTTATGAGTTTCATTTGACTTTTTGGTGTAGAAAAATGATATACTAGCAGATGTTTCAAATAAAAGTCATTTTAGCCTCCGGTGAGTTTTATGATATCTTTTACTTTCTAGTTTTCTCCCCCTTTTTAGTGAAGTAATTAAATTCAAATTCCTTTGAACCTGAAAGAGATATTGAGTGGTATTTATGATTTTGTATAAAACATAAATCACTAGTTCTTCTTTATATTATTAATTGATCATAAACCTAATTATTACTCAAATTAGGAAATAAATCCCAAGAGTTAATCTAAGATAGTCGAGATATTATTTATATTTATCACATATTAAGAATCTCCTTTAGACTAAAAATTAAAAAGCTTTAAGTTTGTTGCAAATAAATTAATTAAAAGAAAGAAAAATATAATATGGACTTCATTAAATATGTATTATAAATAGAATAAATTCTCGTGTATTTGTAATTATTAGGATAGATTTGTTTTCTTTCCTATTTCCCTCAATATTTTTAGTTTCCATATTTTTTTTTAATAACTTTAGCCTATAAAAAGAGATTAAAGCCTGAATTGCAAACACAGAACTATATTACCTCCTTTTTATTTTTATGATGATATTAGAGCTCCCGAGTCCTGATCTCAGGGGCTTTGCTTCTGCTGCCACTGCTCAATCTCTGCTGCATGTGCCACTTAAAGGAAAAATTGAAACTATGAATAGGCTAA